AAAAACTTAATTCCAAATAAGTGTATATTAATTGGTTTGTGCATCTACAAACGATAGTATACAGTTGTGCTCAAAGGTTTGCATACCCCGACAGAAATTGTGAAATTTTGCCATTTATGTTGAAAATATGACTGATCATACCAAAAAAAAGTATTTTATTTAAGGATAGTGATCACCTGAAGCCATTTATTATCACATAGTTGTTTGGCTCCTTTTTAAATCATAATGACAACATAATTCACCCAAATGGCTTTTTTGATGCAGTAAAGGCTTCTATCTGGCAGTTTGACCATGCAACTTATATTTGTTCAAGTATCGTCATATTTAAAACAACCATGCCATCTTTTTCCAGAGCAGCCTTTATGTCTCCTGAGGTCACCTGTGGGTTTTTCTTTGTATCCCCAGCAATTCTTCTGGCAGTTGTGGCTGCAATCTTTCTTGGTCTACCTGTAATTGGCTTGGTATCAAAAGATTCCCAAATTTTCCACTTCTTGATAAGTGATTGAACATTACTGATTGGCATATAGAAGGATTTGGACATCTTTTTATGCCCTTTTACATTTTTATAAAGTTCCATTATCTTGTTATGCTGGTCTTTTGACAGTTCTTTTCTGCTCCCCATGGCTCAGTATCTAGCCTGCTTAGTGCATCCACGTGAGAGCTAACAGACTCATTGACTATTTATACACAGAGACTAACTGCAATGTAAAAAAGCCACAGATGTGAGAAATTAACCTTTAATTGCTATTTTAATCGTGTGTCACCTTGTGTGTCTGTACCAAGACCAAACATTCCAGGGTATAGAAACCTTTGATCAGGGCTATTTGGATGATTTATGTTATTATGATTTAAAAAAGAGCCAAACAACTACATGATAATATATGGATTCATATGATCACTATCCTTAAATAAAAGACATTTTTTGGCATGGTCAGTACAAATGCCAAAATCTGTCAGGGTGTGCAAACTTTTGAGCACAATTGTATATACTGGAAGTACAATTATACTGGAAGCACTATATACGCAGCTATGACTCTATACTGGTAATGGCAGTGATCAGTGACTTATAGTGGGACTGTGATAGGGTGGTGGGCAATCTGGCGCTAGCTGACATTTGCACTGACAATAGTGACACTAATAAAGTGATCAGTGCTAATACTATACTAATGACACTGGCTGGGAAGGGGTTAACATCTAGGGGTAATCAAAGAGTTATCTGTGTGCTTACCAATGTGTAATATGTGCTGCTTTTATTTAATTTATTTCAGGTACTTATTTAGCGCTGTCAATTTATGCAGTGCTTTACATATATTGTACATTTACATCAGTCCCTAACCCTCAAGGGGTGTACAGTGTAAGGTCCCTAACTCACATTCATACATACACATACTAGGGCCAATTTAGACAGGATCCAATTAACCTACCAGCATGTCTTTGGAGTGTGGGAGGAAAAACCGAAGTACCCGGAGGAAACCCACGCAGGCAGAACATGCAAACTCTGAGCAGGTGGTGACGTGGCTGGGATTTGAACCAATGACCCTTGTACTAGCCAGGCGGAAGTGCTGACCATTTGACTACTGTGCTGCCCACTTTACCATATGGCTCTGTTTTCTCCCTGTTTTGCAGAGAGATAAAACAGCCAGTTTGCTGTTCCCTGTACACAGAACTCTGCGTGTGATTGGACACAGCCGATCAGCTGACCTAAGCCAAAATTGGCTGGAATCAGCTGCGTCCAATCACAGCACGGTTTGGCAGGGGGCATGTGCATGTGCAAACCCGAAATAAGGCAAATCACATATTTATTTCAGGTACTTATATATCACCATCAATTAACACAGCACTTTACACATATATATATATTGAACATTCACATCAGTCCCTAACCCTCTAGGGACATATAATCTAAGGTCCCTAACTCACATTCATACTAGGGCCAATTTAGACAGGAGCCAATTAACCTACCAGCATGTCTTTGGAGTGTGGGAGGAAACCGGAGTACCCAGAGGAAACCCACGCAGGCAGAGGGAGAACATGCAAACTCCAGGCAGGTGGTGCCATGGCTGGGATTCAAACCAATGACCCTAGTACTGCCAGGCGGAAGTGCTACCATTTAGCCACTGTGCTGCCCATACATATATACAGTCATGGCCGAAATTGTTGGCACCCTTGATATTTTTCCTGAAAATCAAGTATTTCACACAAAAAAGGTATTGCATTAACACATGTTTTGCTATACACATGTTTATTCCCTTTGTATGTATTGGAACAAATATAAAACAGAGGCAGAAAAGCAAATATGACATAATGTCACACAAAACCCCAAAAATGGGCTGGACAAAAGTATTGGCACCCTTAACTTAATATTTGGTTGCACAAAAAACATAACTGAAATCAGTCACTTCCTATAACCATCAATAAGCTTCTGACACCTCTCACCCGGAATTTTGGACCACTCTTCCTTTGCAAACAGCTCCAGGTCTCTCTTATTGGAAGGACACCTTTTCCCAACAGCAATTTTAAGATCTCTCCACAGGTGTTCAATGGGATTTAGATCTGGGCTCATTGCTGGCCACTTCAGAACTCTCCAGCGCTTCTTTGCCATCCATTTCTGAGTGCTTTTTGACGTATGTTTGGGGTCATTGTCCTGCTGGAAGACCCAGGATCTTGGACGCAAACCCAGCTTTCTGACACTGGGCCCTACAGTGTGACCCAAAATCCTTTGGTAATCCTCAGATTTCATGATGCCTTGCACACAGTCAAGGCACCCAGTGCCAGAGGCAGCAAAACAACCCCAAAAACATCATTGAACCTCCACCATATTTTACCGTAGGTACTGTGTTTTGTTCTTTGTAGGCCTCATTCCGTTTTCGGTAAACAGTAGAATGATGTGCTTTACCGAAAAGCTCTATCTTGGTCTCATCTGTCCACAAGACGTTTTCCCAGAAGGCTTTTGGCTTACTCAAGTACATTTTGGCAAACTGTAGTCTTGCTTTTTTATGTCTCTGTGTCAGCAGTGGGGTCCTCCTGGGTCTCCTGCCATAGCGTTTCATTTCATTTAAATGTCGACGGATAGTTCGCGCTGACACTGATGCTCCCTGAGCCTGCAGGACAGCTTGAATGTCTTTGGAACATGTTTGGGGCTGCTTATATCCACCATCCGGACTATTCTGCGTTGCAATCTTTCATCAATTTTCCTCATCCGTCCACGACCAGGGAGATTAGCTACAGTGCCATGGGTTGCAAACTTCTTGATAATGTTGCGCACTGTGGACAAAGGCAAATCTAGTTCTCTGGAGATGGACTTGTAACCTTGAGATTGTTGATATTTTGCCACAATTTTGGTTCTCAGGTCCTCAGACAGTTCTCGTCTCCTCTTTCTGTTGTCCATGCTTAGTGTGGCACAGACAGACACACAATGCAAAGGTTAAGTGAACGTCTCTCCTTTTTATCTGCTTTCAGGTGTGATTTCTATATTGCCCACACCTGTTACTTGCCCCAGGTGAGTTTACAGGAGCATCACATGCTTGTAACATTCTTATTTATCCGCAGTTGTGAAAGGGTGCCAATACTTTTGTCCAGCCCATTTTTGGAGGTTTGTGTGACATTATGTCGAATTTGCTTTCTTTCCTCCCTTTTTTTGTTTTGTCCCAATACACACAAAGGGAATAAACATGTGTATAGCAAAACATGTGTTAATGCAATACGTTTCGTGAGAAATACATGATTTCCTGGAGAAATATCAAGGGTGCCAACAATTTCGGCCATGACTGTATATATGTATGTGACTGTAGCTGCCGTTGCCGCAGTAAATGTACAGCGGTGGGGCAGCAGGTGGTTAATAGCCGCCCAAACGCGGGTAGCAGTTGCGTGTTCTGCCGCAAATTTCCTTGCAACAATATGTGCAAAAAAAAAAAAAATGCAAAGATGTATTTGGCTCAGGCTTCTTTAGCAGAGGGAAGCTCATTCAAAAGAATGGTGCCGCTCCAAAAATGTGCTATAGAAATGAGCAAAAGACCCAGCTAAAAATGCAATGCAGAAGCATCACTCAGGTGTGAACGAGGCCTAATTGTTCCCAGTTTGCTGTTTAGCTTTAGCCAAACTTAATCAACAAAAAAGAAGCCACAACACAAATGTCTATATTGACTAATATAATACATGTGTTTATTACATAGTTACATATTCAGATGATTAGTCAAGTTGAAAAAGACACAAGTCTATCTAGTTCAAACAATAAAAAAAATGATTAAATACATAGAAAGCCTCAGGGGCGGACTGACAGATCATGGGGCCCCTGTGTCCTTGCCCAAACTCAAAAAAGCCTATGAAAAAGGTACCTTGGGCATCTCATGGGGCCCCCTACTGACCCCGAGCCCTTGGGCAGTGCCCGAGTTTCCAAATGGTCAGTCCGCCCCTGGAAAGCCTCCATATACATAGTCCTATCCATACTCACAGTTGATTCAGAGGAAGGAAAAAATTCCCTGTAAGGCTAGGTTCACACCTATGCAGGTTGCGTATGAGCCGTTTCTGCATTGCGTTTTGCATTTTTACCGTGCATTTTTACGTTTACGTTTTTTTTTCAGTTTTATTTTTCTTGTTGCTAGGCAGATTTAAAACACAAACTCAAAAACGCATCAAAAACGCATTACATGCTTTTCTGCAGCATTTCCATTGAAGTGTATAGAACCAAAAACGCAACTTTTTGCGTTAAAAAAAGTCCCTGAGCCTGTCCAAAAAACGCACAGGGTGAAAACACGCAGATGTGAATGTGTCCCATAGAAAATCATGTTAAATGGACTGTACTGTGTTTCTGCAAAATGCTGCGGAAAACGCTTAGGTGTGATCCTGGGGTAAAGCATGGTGCAGTCTGCTCCAGCAGGGGAAGAATACGTTCCTTAATGATTTGCTATAAAAATACGGCTTACTGGCAAGGTGGGTTTCTAGTACGAGGAAACTTTCATGCCTGGATATTTTTCCTTAAAGTGGTATTAACTCCTTTACGCCGGCCGCACACAAATGTCTGGGCCTTGACGCCGAGTGGCCGCACATTTGCGTTCATGTAAGAAAAAACATATGTGCCGAGAGTGCGCGCCCTGCACGCTCCCAGCACACATGTGCAGTACTCACGGAAAGGTCCTGGTCCGCTCTTTCAATTGGGACCTTTCCCGATCATGTGACCGCCGTGACAACGCGTCATGGTCACATGCTCCCTAAACCATGCCCCACCCAGCACACATGTGCGGTACTCACGGAAAGGTCCTGGTCCGCTCTTTCAATTGGTACCTTTCCCGATCATGTGACCGCCGTGCCGATGCGTCATGGCAGTCACATGCTACCTTCCCGATCATGTGACCGCCGTGACGACGCGTCATGGTGGTCACATGCTCCCTAAACCACGCCCCACCCAGCACACATGTGCGGTACTCACGGAAAGGTCCTGGTCCGCTCTTTCAATTGGTACCTTTCCCGATCATGTGACCGCCGTGCCGATGCGTCATGGCAGTCACATGCTCCCTAAACCACGCCCCACCTGCCCCGCCTCCTGGCGTCTGAAACTCTTAAAGGGCCGGGAGGCGCCGGCGGGAAGGGGTTAAACACAAGACCAAAAATGTAATATTTTGCAGCCTACCAATCATTAGATGTGGTGGCTGCATTACTTTTCTTTTATTAGTACGATGAAACTTTCATGCCTGGATATTTTTCCTTAAATCTGTATTAAACCCAAAACCAAAAATGTAATATATTGCAGCCTGCCGATCATTTAGACGTGGTGGCTGCATTACTTTTCTTTTATTAGGCTTTTTTTCCCCTCTGTGTTCACCTGGTGATCTGGCCAGTAACACGCCTTCTGTATTAGAGTGCCCCCACTCTGGATGTAGGAGCACAGGGGATACCTTTGGACAGCAGCATTGTCAGTCTGGAAGGAGGGGAGTACTAGATGTACTAGCAGATTTAAATACACTAACAAATTGAAGTCAAACTCCAGCTAACACCCTTTTAGGCAGTTACAGCAAATATAAAAGTGCTAGAAAATTGTGTGCTGCCAAATATTTAAATAAATAGTGAAACAATAATAAATGTGAGCTGCTGCAAACACATAAAATGTGTGTTCATCACATGTGAAGAACAGTTATTTATTTCCTTCTTCCTTTTTTTTCCTTTTGGACTTTCATTGTTGAGTTTTTTCATATGTGTTTTGGACTTTTATGTATGATATGTTATGTTTCAGTATTTTATGAGCAGCGCAGCACTATACATTGGTTTATTAGTTACAGCAAATAGTTTTGTTCCTTTTGGGATAAAGTTTTACATAAATAAATAAAAGCTGATCATTGTAGGCATCCCTGTCAGTCCTCATGCACACTGAATGTTTTCACAGCGGCTGTTTTTGGCTTTTTTTCATTTTTTTTTACTACAGCTAGTAAACTCCCCAGCATGTTATCCTATGTGTCCATGCACACATAGGCTGTGGCTGAAACCCCCCCTCCCCAGAACTAATGGGTTTCTAGGGAAGTTTTTTTTAGCTGTAAAAACACTTTAACACTGATATATACGAAAAAACACTGTAAAACACGGCAAACTGGCGTTTTGGGGCTTTTTTTTTGCAAAAATTTTATTTTTTGTGTGTAAACAATTATAAAAAACGCAGCTACATGCTAATGCAAAAACCCTAATAATGCGAAAATACTCATGTTTTTAACGTGACTTTATACAGCTACCACTGGCTGCGTTTTTAAAACTCCCAGTGTGCATGAGGACTAAATGGTTTGCCTCATCCCTCTAACTGCTACATCTGTAGGACAGTTTGTTTTGTTGAAAGGCAGACTTATTGGCCAGATCACCAGGTGAAAACAAAGGAAAGAAAGCCTAAAAAATAAAACTAATGCAGCCACCACATCTAAGAACTGAAACATGACATCATGGTGTTCAGATAATTTGGCATTGTTTGCTAGATTTGAAACCGCTTATCACTGGCGAGGTGAAAGGTCCTCATTCAAGACCATTTTTAGTACACGCAAATAAGAATGCTGCCCATATACCATTCAATCTGAAAAAACAATTGAACTGTGTATGGGCATTTTTAAGTTAATTTTAAATTTTTCTAGAGTGACTCAATGAGGAAACAACTGGTTAGGTTTTATGTGTTTGTAGCGTGTTTGGTATAATGAAAGTTTTATTTTTCCTGGTTCAGAACATGCAAAAATTATTCAATATATAAAAAAAGTGTAAAATGGATGTATACACTGATCAGCTATAACTTTATGATGACTGACAAGTTAAGTGAATAACACGGATTATCTTGTTACAATGGCTTCTGAAAGTCAGTGGGATATATTAAGCACCAAGTAAACATGTTGTCCCTGAAGTTGATGTGTTGAAAGCAGAAAAAATGGACATCTGTTTGTTGTGTATGGGTGTGCGTAGCCGTAGACCAGTCAGGGTGCCCATGCTGACCAGTGTCCACGACCAAAAGCGCCTACAATGGGCATGTGACCATCAGAACTGGACCACAGAACAATGGAAGAAGGAGGCCTGGTCTGATGAATCATGCTTTCTTTTACATCATGTGGTTATCCAGGTGTGTGTGCATCGCTTACCGGGGGCAGAGAGGGTACCAGGATGCAGTATGGGAAGAAGGCAAGCCGGTGGAGGCAATGTGATGCTGTGGGCAATGTTCTGCTGGGAAACCTTGGGTCCTGCCATGCATCTGGATGTAACTTGGCACGTACCGTCCACCTAAACATTGTTGCTGACCATACATAGAAAAAGGTATTCCCTGATGGTAGTGGCCTCTTTCAGCAGGATAATGCGCCTTGCCACACTGCAAAAATGGTTCAAGAATAATTTGGGGAACACAACAACGAGTTTAAGGTGTTGACTTGGCCTGCAAAATTTCCAGATCTCAATCCAATCGAGCATCTGTGGGATGTGCTAGAAAAACAAGTCCTATTCATGGAGGCTCCACCTCTCAACTTACAGGAATTAAAGGATCTGCTACTGACAGCTTGGTTCCAGATACCACAGCATACCTTCATATGGCTGTTGGAGACCATGCCTCAGTGGGTCAGGGATGTTTTTGCAGCAAAAGTTGGACCTACTCAATATTAGATGGGTGGTCATACAATTATGAATGATACTAGTGTCCCCTGAAGACGTGCAATGGCATGAAACAGGTTGGAGCAGAAGCTAGATGCTGACATTTCTCCGCCACTTCCATATCCAAAGCTGGCGACTTTCTTTCTTTTTCCCCCCAGACAGTATCAAGCAAACTTTCTGACTGTCCCCAGTGGTGAGAAACAGTACTGCAGGGTGTCCCCATGGTAAGAATGGAGCTGGTGGACCACTTGTGTGAAGGATCATGTTGACACAAACACGCATGTTGCTGCTTTCCTCTTGCATATTTAATGTCGGCAAGTTAATATTAGGGCATTTACCTGTCCAGGGATCAAGCGGTGTCCTCACCCAGGGGTGGACTGACCATTTGGAAACTCGGGCATTGCCCGAGGGCCCGGGGTCAGTAGGGGGACCCATGAGATGCCCCTGGTACCTTTTTCATAGGCTTTTTTGAGTTTGGGCAAGGACACAGGGGCCCCATGATCCCCTATTGCCCGGGGGCCCCAAGAGTTGTCAGTCCGCCCCTGTCCTCACCCCAAGCCTTATCTTCAGTTAGCGTTCGGGTGTTGGTGCCGCCATCTTGACTAAGGGAAACTGGCAGTGAAGCCTTGCGACTTCACAGTCGGTCTCCTACTGTGCATGCGTGAAGTGTGCTGAGCTTTGTGAATGGGCCACAGACTTCTGGGACCTGTATAGGGGGGAGGAGAGGGGGCCAAACTTCTGGCTTAGTTTGCCGCAGCGAACTGAGCCAAAAGTGGGAGCAGGTACCTGTCAGAACTACGTACCAGCTCCCTCCTCCCCCCAAAAGGTGCCAAATGTGGCGGCGGAGGGGACGAGGAGCTTCTACTTTTTGGTGGAAATCTGCTTTACACTTGTAATATTCTATATTTAGAGGCATTGCATTATTTTCTTTTTACAGTTATGGCTGATCGGTGTATATGATCTGCATAACAAATAAGACATTGAGAATTCAGATTGTGGCAGTTCAGATTTTCATAGTGAGCTTTCAAATGTACTACAGGCCCCTGATATACATTAGCTATGTTATCATGGTCTATAAAGTGCTACATTTACATAGCAGCCTTAGAAAACTGAAGACAAGGACAGGGGCGGACTGACCATTTGGAAACTCGGGCACTTTCGAGGGCCCGGGGTCAGTAGGGGGCCCCATGAGATGCCCCTGGTACCTTTTTCATAGGCTTTTTTGAGTTTGGGCAAGGACACAGGGGCCCCATGATCCCCTATTGCCCGGGGGCCCCATGAGTTGTCAGTCCGTCCCTGGACAAGGATTTTCCATATGTCCCTGTTCCATATGTTCCTTATGTCCCTGTTACCAATTGCAAATCCAGGCAAAAGCATACAGCCATATGACATGTTTTTGTAGTTCTTACATCTTGAAAGATTGACATGTTTTGTAAGTCGGGTAGCAAGATAGCCTGACCACAACAAAATGGCTCATCCCCGCACAATGACAAGTCTATCAAATGGCTTCAGCCTGATTACCACACATGAGAGAACACCCCTCAAGGTTCACCCTACTAAGAGCATAATGGTAGAGGACTCCATGAATAAGTCCTTTAATAGGGTGACTTGCGTTAGAGAGGTGTTTTCCCATAGGTGGAGGTCAAGATGAAAGCAATTTGATAGATTTTTCATGTTGGCATACATTAACAGAGTGCTATGAGGAGTCATTTTGTTGTTGACTTACTATTGAGCTTGATAGGCCTTCACTAGCAAAGCCAGCCCTTGGTAGCAGTAACTGAACCAGCCAGAGGGAGACATTGAAGCATGTGAGTGGTACTTGGGTTTACGTGCGTAAGAAAGCTTGCTATATTTTAGCGTACTGTTTTATTTATTGAGGCAATTGCTGAATTATCTAGAACAAAGATCCCCAACCCCCAGGCCACAGACCAGTGCCGATCCTTGGCCTGTTGGGGGCTGAGCCATACAGCAGGGGGTAGGTGAGTGAGCCAGTACAACCTGCACTGCACTGAGCTAGGATAGATCGTCATAGAGTACTTGTGAGCTCTGTACACCGCTACGGTCTATTGGAGAGAGAGAGACCACCATGTCCTAGCAGTCTTCATACTGAGTGAACTTCAAGGGACAGGCTGCACAACCCCACCCCTAACACCGCCCCTCTCCCCTGTCTGTGAAGGGGTTGTCTTCTGTGAGGACAGTCCCTGGTGCGGGGAGGTTTGGGACTATTGATCTAGAGGACCAGGAAAGCAATGCAAAATCTGCTAACCATAAAAAAAAACCCTGTAAACGTCAAAAACAAATAAGAAATCCCATGTCTTTGGCCTGGAAAATTGGCTGAAAGTGGACATCCTACATAAGTATTATTTTCTAAAATATAGGATTTTATAAATGTATGCCTAAAGTGGGTATGCACATATCGAAATTCATCCAGTTAGCAGTAAACAGACAAATTTTGATGTGTGTAGCCCTGTCTGTTCAACAGAAGCCAATCATTAGA